ATCGCGTTTTAAACCGGTAAAGTGTTTTATTTAAATGTGTATACTAACTATAGATAGTATCTTACAGAATATCAAATTTTTCGTGGATTGATCTTTTTTTTATTTACTAAATGGTAATGGAAATACGTTTATTCAGAAGTAACAGTAGTTTTTTTTTAGAATTCACAATAAGAAACAAATTTACACACACAATAATAGAAGAATTAAAAGTATATGTTATTTAACAACATACAGATAAAATACAATAATACAGTAAAGAAAATGGACTGAGCTCTGAAAAGGAGACCACTCAGCCATCTCGTTTGTGTTATCGGCCTCTGATGTATTCTAGAATACATCAGAGGCCGATAACACAAACGAGATTGTTAAACAATTTTCTCTATTAAGTATAAAATTTTGGCAAATTGTATGTGCTTTGGAAAAATAAATACTTTAAACCCGTTTTTTTCCGTGGAAGCAATAAGTTGCCAATCCAACATTTAAACTCGTGTGAGATATATCGTTGTGCATGCTAGGCCGCCAATACACGTTAACTCGATACCATTTTATATATTTTTTGTGACGTGATTGCGTGTTAGGCTCTTGTCACACTACGCTATAATATATATCTTGAGAATATAAGCACCTTGTTACAGTACAGTGTAAGCAGCTGATAATAGCTGCAGTCCTTTAATATCGAAAGATGCCCCATCGATCTTTTTAACTCTCGACGTTTGTGTATTCCACACTTGAAACACCAACATACTTGACAGTCCTACCACCTATGGCTGCATTCTATCACCAATTTGAAATCCAGGTTTTCAGACGAAGATCAACAGGTTTCACAATTTTTTTAGTAACATGTTGGCCCCGGTGGGGATCGAATCCACGACCCGTTGATTATTGGCCATACTTACCAAGGAACCCGTCATATAGTATCTTGCCAATTCTTACGTACGAACTGCTTCTGTCTCCGCAAAAAAGACGGCAGCATATCTTTGTACGCATGGAATTCATGTCATGCTAAGTTAATGCAACTGCGAGAGGCGTGTGCCTGTTTTTTTTTGCTTGATAAACCCGCGTGGCTTTACGTAACTATAGTCATTTTTAGGGTTCCGTGACCAATCTATTATAAATTAAAAAATTACAAAGAATAAAATTGTGGCTGTTGGAGTAATGGTAGCCGTTCAATCAACGGGGCTTTGTACCGGCATTGAATTTTTAAGGTCGTAGAGCCGGTTTTCTAAAGCGGCCCTAGGTTCGAATGCCGGCACAGATGAAAAGAAATCTGATTAAGTACTCGTAAGTCAATTCGATCAGTGAAACGGACAGAAATGTGTTCGCCCCAGGTCTCACGGAGGGAACGCGATTTAGCTTCTATGCAAAAAAAAAAATTTTTTTTTCGAATTTTTAGCTCAATTGTAAATAAAATATATAAAACAATCTTGGGAAACAATAAATTCTTTATTTATCTTTGTGGTATACATATAAAACCTTCTTCACGGTTTAAAACAAGAACTGCACGAGTTAATTATTTTTTTAATAAGTCGTAACGCGTTACTTGATTGGTATACATTAAATTATGCACATTTAACTAACGATTTCGACCACATAGCAAGTTAATGTACAAGTCGACATTTGTTAATGGTACACAAATATAGCTTGCGTTTTGAACTGTTAAAATGCGTTTTATTTAAATAATAGTTACATAACTATTTTAATCTGAACGAATGAAAAGTTTCTTAAAAGCATGACGTGTTAATGCGAGTAGTACACATGTAAATATAACACATATAACGGTTTAAAACGCGAAATATATTAGTAAACTGATTTACAATTATATTTTAACTAAGGCCCAACATTTCGGATGCCTTGCAGCAGCTATATTCCCCCCCCGGGACCACGGCTGCTATATATTTAGCGTTTTACACCGTCAAAAGTGTTTTATTTAAATACATAATACGAAGGAACACACAATGTCAACATAGTTTCAACGCGAGTAGTACACATTTAAATAAAACTTTTATAACCGTTTAAAATGCGAAATTTACAGTTTTATTTAAACTACACTCGGACGTTTCAGATGCTATGTAGCAGTTAACTAATATTTCGCGTTTTAAACCGTTTTATGTTTTGTTTGGTGTCGGTAGGCTAATTACGTTTTGCGAAACTAGATGTCGCGTTGAACAATGGGGAGTGCCTTAGATTAATGTACGGGAGACCTTGATGGGCGTGCGTTGAACTTGGCGGGTTCAAGCCAGTTCGCCAGCCTTTCCTCTTAAACGCTTGCGCACTATTTAGTTAGGTTAAAATTGGCCATTGCTTCTGTAAATTAGATCGAAGATCTCCGTAACGATGATCATGCAGTAAAATAAAACACATTAACGGTTCAAAACGTGTATATATATCAGTTAAACTTTAAAATTTATTTTAATTTCGGCCCGACGTTTCGGATGCTTTGCGGCAGCCGTGGTCACGGGGTCAATTACCATTAGACCAACGAGATTGTCGTCTATCAAAACGCGTTTGACGGTTTTAAACACGATGCATATTAGTTATTTTGTAACGAACCGATGCCATCGACTCATTTTATTTTTAAACACCGCCTTATCTAGTCTATAGTATTTTATTTAAAAATAGAGACTTCAAAGAAATGTACAATGTAACGCACTATGCGTTTTCATTGATAGACAAGTTCGTGAACTGAGGACGGCAGTCAAAATTGCGTAGTGGGTAGCAGGTTAATTATATGTATAGAAGTAGGACGCAAGTGGCGTATTTAGGTCAAAAGCACTGTTCCTATCTGACGTTTTGTCGTTTTGGAATGTGTCATTGTGTTATGTCATTCTCGTCTTTGTATGACAGAGTACAATAGACAAGTGGGGTTTTACTTGATGGATTACCCTACCACAAATGCTGTCGATCTATTTTGGATATTCGGAAAATCACTGCCGGACACCGAAACGCGATTAAACATTATCCAGTTAGTGTCCAGATGTCCAGACGAAGTCTATCATAATTTGAAAACAATATAAATTAATTAGAAACATATGGGGTCGAACTCACGACTCAAGCTCGGGCATTTTAAACTTACACTTAGTAAAACAATTATTTAGTACTTACACGTGGACAAAAGAGTAGGTTATTTTTTAGCTCTCGAGGATAAGGTCAATATTTTATATTGCACGGGCCTCGAACTGCCGTCCTCCCGCGGTCACTATCATCGCGATACGTAAATGCGATAACGATGACGTCTCACGTGTGACTTCGCGAACGTGCCTCGAGTCGCGTTTTTGAAGAGTCTTTGTTGATGCAATAATCTGCAATTTTGAAGTCCGTTCTTTAAAACGAATGACGAAAATAAATGTAGATCCATGAGTTCCCAGCTTCGAGTACTGGGGCGGGCAAATTTAAAGGTGTACAGGACTAAATAATTATTACAGACATTGGCTTCTATGGTTTAATATATAGAAAAATCTTAAACATTATGTTAGTAAACACGACATGCAAATATAATTAAATCTAACAAAAAGAGTTATAGTAACTACAGTTTTTGGGATTATTGTAATTCGAAGTTAAGCCGTAGGATTAGGTTTTCCCTTTCAATCCGGTTTGGAGTGCCATGTTGGGTCTTTAAAACCTTCTGTCGTTTACGCGAGTAGAACACATTTTAATAAAACACTGTAACGGTTTAAAACGCGATATACATTAGTTTAACTTTAGTTACTAATATATATCGCGTTTTAAACCGTTAAAGTGTTTTATTTAAACTTTCTATGTTAGGAACACTTGGGCTTGTGACATTTATAGGTTGATATATATTATACACGGTGCATTGTCTTTCTCTGCACATTATTTCTCGGTTCAAACAACTTTTTTACGACGGTCACTCGAAACTACATCCTGTATAACTGGGATCAACGCCCGTCCTTTCTCGTTTATCTCGCGAACTCTCGAACGTAAACAAAACAATATATCTACGTTAGAACAACGTATTATTTTTAAATTTCGAACTACGCAGTACAGTGTATAAGTTTAACTTAGCTATAATAATTAAGTGATTAACTAATGGGCTCGTTAGATAAACGTCACATAATTAGTTAACGATTCTCGTTAGTATGTCAATATTTTCCCAGTAACTGACTGCTTCGTATTGTGTAAATCCCTCGTTCTTGTAAGCGATTATATTAATTTCCAAGGTGCTTAGCCAAGGCGACTGAGCAAATAAAATGTAGTTTTTCACTGCATCACCTCAATGTATTTTTTCTAACTTGCCATTTTTTGTAAACGAACACACTTAACGTGAAATCGTGATCATCTCACAAGGTTTATACTTTGAGACACTGGATTATATATTAAACTCACTAACTACCTCAAATTCACTTAGTAAAAACAATTTCATGCCAAATTAACAGAATCCTAAAAATGAATTTACGTAAATCGTCAGATATAAATTTCTTTAGTTTGATATTTATATAGGAATTTGAATTGCGTTACCAACGCCTACGTGAAAAATAAAAACTTAAAAAATTAAAAAAGTCGAGGTATTAAAAGTGATTTTGAATATTGAGGTCATATATAATCGAGGTTTCTTTGTCCCTGTGTGTCATCTATGGCAACAACTTCAGTCTATGAAAGGTCATCACTAGTTCTATGGTTTGTAATAGATAGATTGTCGTGGTCTTTTCTCAAGTTAGAAAAATACTCTATAGCGTCTTTCAGTAACAAAGCACTCAGTTAATTACGGAAAAGTACTATCGGTACCAACCGATTCGGGTCCATATAAAAAAACGCGTACCTGCGCTAATCGCTACAACCCACAACTCGTAATTCCACGGAAAGTAGTTTTATTATTGTTTAGAAGAATGAGAATAGGCCGGCGTGTCCCGTTAGCGCGCGCCGCGTGACGTATAAAGCGGGTCGCCCCGCCGCCGCGCCATTACTCCGGCGCACGCGCGCGCGATAGCACGTACTCGCCGCTCGCTCGCTCTCTCTATGTGTACACAAGCCCACCGAGAAACATGCATTTCTGTACTCATTGGCACGATTGGTTTTATCAAGAGCCCGACGCGACGGTGGACCCCGCCGGCGCCGCAGCACGCAGGCGCAAGCCCCGCGATCGACGCCGCTCCCCGGCCGCGGCGCCGCCGTCGACGCCGCAGAGGATCTCCGCCGAGGAACTAGCGGAGGCCCTGCGCCCGCACCTGCTCTCGCCGAAGCGGATGTGGGCCCTGGGCTACCCCCTCGAGATCGAGCCCAACTCCTGCAAGGCGGTGGTGTACGTGAACCCGCCGCCGCGCCCCCGGCTTCACTTCACCTCCTTCGACGTGAACGCCCCTGAGTTTGTCCCGGGCGGCTCGCAGGGCGACAGCGGCCGGGGCTCGCTGGGCTCCTCGCCCCGCTCCGACAGCGACGAAGAAGCGGATGCAGTGGAACACTTGTGTGTGCGTTGTGATAAAACGTTTAGAATGACTCGCGAAGGTGAATACGTAGTGGAGGAGAGTTGTGTGTATCATTGGGGCAGGATTGGAGGCGACTCTCGCCACACGTGCTGCGAGGCCCCGCTCGGCTCCAAGGGCTGCACCTCGGCGCGTTTCCACGTGTGGAGCGGGACGAAACCAGGCATGAACGGGCCCCTCAAGGGCTACGTGCGGGCCAGGTCGCCGCGCGGCGGCGTCTACGCCGTCGACACGGAGATGTGCTACACGACGGCCGGCCTCGAGCTCGCCAGCATCGCGGTGATCGCCGCCGACGGTCGCCTGGTCTACAGGTCGCTGGTGAAGCCCAGCTCGCCGGTGGTCGACCACAACACTCGCTTCTCGGGCATCAGGCCGCGCGACTTGGCGCGCGCGACCAAGACGCTGCGAGACGTGCAGAACGACATCCTCGGCTTCGTCGGGAGCGACACGATCCTGATCGGGCACGCGCTGGAGAACGACTTGAGGGCGCTCAAGCTGCTGCACAGCGCGGTCGTGGACACGTGCGCTCTGTACCCTCATTCGCGGGGGTTCCCTCTGCGGCGATCGCTCCGGGCGCTGTCGCAAGAGCTGCTCGGGCGGAGCGTGCAGAGGAGCAGCTCCGGCCACTCGCCGTTGGAGGATGCGCGGGCGGCCATGGACCTGGTGCTGCTAAAGGTGCACGAGGAGCGCGCGCAGCGGCACCGCGTTGCGACTCAGCTGCCGATTCTGCAGCCGTACGATCCCCTCATCAGCGCCGCCTGACGCGGTGGCTGGCGACAAGTTTGTAAACTAATGTTGAAATGGACAATTCTGATGTGAATAGATGTATTACGTTGCCGGAGCGCGCATCCCTCAGCATGTGCCTTCGAATTGCAACCGTGCAATAAACGTAATATTTTTTCAAAGTTTTGTTTTCTTTACTCTCACGACGAAAATTCAAAAGATTCACTTTCTTAGACCAATAGAGGAAGTGCAAAGAATCAGGTCTTAGTTAACACAACACATGAGTAGATTACAAATACATTTAACTAGTTACAGATATAGGTAGGTAAACGATGCTATTTAACAGTTTAAAACGTGAAATATCAGTGTAATATCTTTTACTGTAAAAACAGTGTTTCATGTTTGCAACTCCCGTAAAAAAAACTTTATGGTTCAAATTGTTGTGCGAGATGTCCTGGGTTCGAATCCCGAGGAAATAACTAGATAACAGATTGCTTAAGACTGTAAATAACAGTCAGTGAAGCTGACACAGAAATGAGTTTGTCCCGTTGCCTGGTTTACCCCCGTGGGTATGCCCCACGGTAAACGGAATTTCACTGTTTACTTAGTTTATCTATAAATAATGAATGTGTTCTACGTATGTTTCTAATTATTGCAGAGAGGTTTTTAATATGCGCGAAATGTATTAGTCTGTGTTCACGGCTGGTACAAAACATCCGAAACCAGACCATAGTTAAAATAAATTGTAGATAGATAAGTTTACCTAATAAATTTCGAGCTTTAAACAGTTAAAAATGTTTTATATAAATGTGTAGAACTCGCGAAAACTACAGACAGTGCTTCACACTTCTCTTATTCATATTATTTAGTGATTATTTATTTGGCATAACCGTAAACACAATATTATGATTACAGTCTTTGCGTTCTGATTAATTCAGTCCCCGTACTGTTATGAGCTGGTCATATGACGGCCACTTTCACTTGTAGATTTCTAGTTCATAACGAGTATATCGTGGGCATTAGTGGGGTATGGGGTCGAAGCCTCATCTACACTAGATAAACATGAAAAACACGCGAAGGGTAGAAAACTTAATTTAAAATATGCTTCAATATAATATGTCTGTAGTTTACGCGTGGAAGTTAAGCAATTTTAACGGTTTAAAACGCGAAATGTATTATTTAAAACTGCAATCTTGCATTTCGAGATGCTTCGCTGAAAATGACTTGTACGCTATACTACTACAAGACAGACAACGATGGGTTTAAACTTGATTGATGGAATAAGCCTTATAACATCGAAACAAGATGTGCCGTCGACCTATTTTGTCGATATTAAGTTTGAAGATTGTAGTTTGGTTACAAGTAAATTAGATCTTCTATAAATAGATAAAGTTTTGTTGAAGATACGTGCAATACCTCAGATGTGTTGTCGACCGATTTTGCCATTGATTTTTTTAGTTTAATTAGTTTGTTAGTTAAATAGGTAGTCTTTTTTTATGATAGAGGACATGAGCATGAGGTTCACTTGATGAAAGGCGGAATATCTGAGATGTGTTGTCGACCTATTTTGGCTTTAGGCATTTAGTTTCATTAGTTTGGTTACAAGTAAAATAGATGGTCTTTTATAATAGAGGATAAATAAGCATAAAGTTCTGTTGAAGATGCGTGAAATACCCCAGATGTGTTGTCGACCTGTTTTGGATCAATTGCAGTTCGTGATTAATATCGGTATTGAGTTTGAATTATGAGTAAGCGCGGCGGATGTTTGTGTTTTTCTCAGCTGAGTCAGCCGGTTTGCCTTTTCCAAGTAGGACGCATCAGCTGTGTTCATCCTCGTGTTATGTTTCAAGGTATTTCGTCAGACGACTCTTGCGCACACAGAGACAAAGGTCTTTAATATCTCTTTAAGACAGGCTTGTGCAAACGAAATGAAACAATATGGCATTTACTTTATGGCTCTGTCCAATTTTGTTTTTGGACATATTTAAATGAAACACTTTAACGGTTTAAAACGCGATATATTTTAGTTAAACTTGTTTGACGTTTCGGATGCTTTGCAGCAGCCGTGGGGAGACGGGGAGACTCCTTTCTCAAGCTTAAAATATCTGTGTACCAAATTTCAATTAGCGAGCTCTGAAACAAGTTACATAAGAGGCTTACGTAAAGATGACGAAATCCTGACCTGATGAGCACACCTAATGATTTCAATGTAACGAAACTATTTAGTTATCATCAATCAGCGTCTATTGCTTCTAATTGTGGTGATAAGGCGACAACAATTGTCTAGAATGGACAGTGCAGTTGTAAATGAGTGAAACAAAACACAAAAGTTGTCTATGTTGATGTTGGTTCTTCAAATAAAATGCCCCAGCCTTATAACAACTAAACACGATGCGCTATCGACCTATTTTCTCTTTGGATATTCGGTTATAGACACAAATGTGTTCTCCACATGCCCCACACGGGACAATAGTTATAGTCTTCAATACACACAAAGTGCATCGTATTTTGGATGAGGTGATCTACCAAGGTCATTTGTTACTCCGGTGTGAACACCCAAAGACGCTCACCCGATCTCTAAATGGGTACATTGCCCAGGAGGGGGTAACGGCCGCGCGTCCGGTCGGTTTGTTTAGCCAAAATATACGAATTTGATAGATAAAGAAAACATTAGATGCTGTATACTCTGCGATTAATTTAAAAGTATTACTAATGCGCATGAGTGCTTAGAGTAAAATCTCGTTTCTCACCAATCGTTTGATCAATATATTTTACAGGTTTGGTTTAAAAAAAATTTTTTACGATTTTAAAGGGGTTTTTTTTGGCGCCCCCCTTCCATTTTTTCTTTTTTTTTCCCCCCCCCGGGGGGGGGGGGGGTTTTTTTTTTTTTTTTTTTTTTTTTTTTTTTTTTTTTTTTTTTATTTTAACGTGTAGGTAAGTACTACTCGCCTATATAGACAATGCTGTAAGGAGTTGATCTGACTTGTAACTTGACTTGTTAGCTTGTAAATTTTGAGAAATAATGATTGCGGTTTGGTCAATATTTGATAATGCAAAAACACATTCAAACATAACACTTAACGGTTTAAAACTCGGCATTTAATAGTGGTAGTAAAAGTTGTAACAAAAATATATTTCGCGTTTTAAACCGTTAAGTTTTCGACTCAGTGTGCGTAAGGTACGTAAATACTTTTCGTCCATCAAGACTCATACGAAAATGACAAAGCCTTTAGGAACACTAAACTTAGTAACCTTACCAATAAAAATCTTACTGACAATTACGTCTACGTCGAGTCTACTTTGTTTTTAAAATAACGCTAGATCTGATCCATCTTTACCGAGGTCTTCCTCTTTGCCTTCACCTTCCAGGGATACCAATCTCTTACTCCATTTCTCTTTTCATATATGTATAAGTTCAGTTAATTACTTTCGTCTATTTTGTCTGTTTGTACTGGGGGCTATCGAGTCGGATCGAATACCGTCTCTAGATACTCGTACTTGGGTCACTGCAGCAGATAACAGCAACCAAGGCGAAACATTTAGCACAGCAATTATACAGTTCCTCGTTCGATACGATAAGCATAAGACAAATATATATTATCTTATCACTTACGGCATAGTATTCTTGAATACCCCGAAAAGTGGCGACGATTGTATAAATACATACCTAATGCTCTTAAGTATCTGTATTTAAATAAAACGGTTTAAAACGGCGAAATATATTAATTAATTTGTCATTATGAGCCCCACTGATCAGATTGTAGTGGAAAATACGGATGCTTATATGGTGTGTTTTTTTTAAGAAAAATATTATTTGATGTTGGACAGGACTTTGTGTACCCTCAGATACAACGTTTCTATGTATACAAAATGTCGCTATGAACTAAAAAAATCGAAATCTGTCACCCTCTCTTGGCCGCCTGTGTTTTTTTATGTCAGAAATTATTAGAAATATTTTTATTAGCCGTATACAGCTACCATCACAACGAGCCGTCAAAGTTAATTTTTGTTTTTTATTAATACAAGTCTTTGTTTTGCCTTAAACAAGATGGCCGCCTTTGTCCATGGCGTCTCGTGTCGCCCCCGCAGTCTTTCACAATGGTTTGCACAGTGTGGGGCTGTTTCGACATCGTGGCACGCCTACATTCTTCGAGAATCCTTGTAATATCCATAATGATTTAATGTGTAAATTATCCTGAAACATTTTCGACTTAGCATACATAACGTAACATATTAAAATAAAACACTTTAACGGTTTAAAACCCGACTTTTTTTAAATAAACTTGTTTGAAAATTATTTTTAACTACGGCCCGATGCGTCGGATGCTCGACGTTTTACGTTTTAACCCGTTAAATGTGTTTTATTTAACTGTGTACCACTCGCGTGAACGGTGGTTGTAGTTGTTTATTTACTGTTTTTGTTTACATATTGTTCACAAAATGATGTCTACCAAGTCATCTGTAATGGTGTGGTCCTGGTGGAAAGCGGACCCACTACCCGTTAAGCCATATTGCTACCATTAAATCAACGTACCACTTCAAATATAGGGTTTGTTTATTACCTGGTATGACACAATCGTACCAGGTATTGCAAGAGAAATGATGCAAAGCCATTAAAAGTGAAGCAGACAAAAGGTATGAGCTAAAAGTCCAAATGGAATTGGCGTTTCGGTATTAGTCTGGCTTGCGCATGTCAAAAAAAACATTTTAATATAACACTTTACGGTTTAAAACACGAAATATATTGGATACATTTTTCTAATTAAATAAAACACTTTAACGGTTTTAAACGCGATATATTAGATAAGTTAAACTTATTTGAAAATGATTCTTAACTTCGGCCCGACGTTTCGGATGCTTTGCAGCAGCCGTGGTCACGGGGTTCAACTAATAGGTCGCATTTTAAACCGTTAAAGTATTTTATTTAAATGTGTACTACTCGCGTAAACTATAGACAGTGTTTACCTTTTTCTAATTTAATTTTAATGCGACCCGGCGTGTCAAACCGGTAAAAATGTTTTATTTACACGTGTACTACT